AGAGTCTACTCTATTTCATGAACAGAGCTTCTAAGAAACACGTATTGCTACACTTTCTTCTAAAAAAACGAAACATGGCTACGTTTCTTTATATCAATTCGTTAAATTTTTTTACGAAACTATAGATAAAATTTACAATTAAATAAAAATAATTCCTTAAATCAAGTGTGAACATTTCTAGCAAATCAGTATATTGTTAGTACTAACATCTAGTTTTTTATATCAAAAACGAAAAAAAAATCATGATCAATTGACAAATTTTAAGCCGTTGTACATTATATATTTTTTTCGAGGCTAAAGAATGTGTGGCGTTTAATATAAAAATTTGAGAGGCATTGAAAAAATATATCTACATCCTGAAAATAAATCTATTCGTAACAAGTAATTATTCTCTTTCCCTACACATATATATAGTATTTATTAGTTACACATGTTCTAAGAGAGATGAACAGGGCTCGCGCAAATTACAGACATGAGATAACTTCTTTCCGAAAGCCATAAATTGGGGAAATATGAGACAAGTTAACGAACGGGGCAAGATGACGAGCCACATTCTTAAGCTAATCTAGATATAAATGGGAGCGTATTTCTGGTGAAAACATGAAGTTGCATCAACAGATCACGCCTAACAATGAATGGTTGGTTTCTTATATATACAATATTTTAGTTATAAAGCTGAAAAGCTTGATTTTCAATCAGTAAAAATCTTTTTCATATGTCTGGAACAGTTTTCCATAACTACTCTATTTTATATAATACCGTAGCGAAATAATTTTTGCAACGTTAGATTAGGTATTATTTGTTTTCATTTTGATGAGAAATTCATTTATGTACTACTTACTTAAACGTAAGTAGGTAGTATATAGTAACTCTGCAGCAATAAAAGCATTTCATTTATAAACACGGAGTAAGGTAATTGAGCATGTTAGTCAACAACATGGTTCAACAGGGATTTATTGATAGATAATCAAGAGTAACATCTTACAAAATCTGATATTGCAAGTCTTCTAGAGGAGGAGTGAATTCAGTGTTCTAAATACAAAAGCATGCATGAGTTGCAGGACGTTGTAGCTATGAAAATACAGAAAAATTTACTCGAGATTTACTTCAATAGGTTAAATGTCCTGTTTGTATTTTGCTTCTTTTGTTCTAATTTTATCGTTTTAAATAAAAGAAGCATAGAGGATAACTTGGGGTATTATTACAAAAGTATAAAAATTTCATTTGTCTGTATTTTTTAAATATTATATTACCTTGCCCACTTTTCCCTATATTGCCGTCACCTTATACCTCTAATAAGGTAATATGACGAAAAAATAATATTTTTAAAGACTAAAAATTTTTACTCTAATTTTATATAACTTAACGTTTGTCAGCCCCATTATGTAAGAAAACATTTAAAGTACAGGTTAGTACGCCTAATATTAACATACTAAACATTCGTCAATAAACCTCCCTTTCCTCTACGAATAAAATGAATAAAACAAATTAAATTGATTTTTTACCATTAAATACCAAAGTGTAAAGATAAAAACGTTAGTTTACTCCTCTTAAAGATTACTCCTCTGAGAAATCTGGGACATAATCCGGACGAGCAAATCTGGAATGGTAAATAGTGAATTATGTCGAGCCCGTCGGCCGCCCCCATTATGGGTCTGACTGAACCCATGATGGCAATGGAAAAGAAAAACATTTAGTGCGGTCTCCATTTTTGCACGGCAAAAATCAATCTGCAAAATTTTTTGAGAGTCAAAATTAAAAAGAAAAAATAGATGAATACTAGAACTAAGAATAGAACTAGTAGACTATATTGTAAGTGCACCTGCATTTCTGTCGTTGTGAAATAAGCAAGTCACGAGAATTACTTTTTTGTTTTCACTACGATCAATAACTTCATAAAGTGTATTTTGTGTTTATTTGAATTCCAATAACGTGCAAAATAATTCAAACCTTGAATCGTGTAGGCTACATTTTAATTTGGGTACACTCGCATAAACGAAATTTACGTGAATTTAGATTGAATATAATAAAAACAATTTAATATTGACACAACTTTAAGAGAATATAACAAATATTTGTATGTTTTAGAAAATTTATAATGTATAATTTAAAAATCATAATAATTTATTATGATTACAAAGTTTACATTGGTGTTTAAAAAGAAGGATATGACAAATTACAGTATTTCTTTTTGGTGTATAGAGGGGGTCATTTTTATTCTTAAATTATCCCCACAAATTACAGTGTTAAGGAAAGACTCTTTTCCCTGTTAGTTACATTTAGCAAATCAGGAAGTGATTCTCTGTCAACGGGATGTCGAACGTGTGAGAATCGTTTGTTTAGTTACAACTAAGCAGGGATGCTTGACTTCCGTTGTCATGGTAACTACGTGCAGAGAACCGCAATGTTTTAGTAATTAGTCCTTACTCTCTACACGATTACTCCCCTTGTACTGATAGAAATGAGAAGTTTAGATTTCATATTCTTCGCTGGATAATGTAATACACATGATTCTAGTTAACGCCACATGTTTGATTAATTAGATATAATAAAAAGAATATGTTTTTCACAGTTCTCTGTCGTAAATCAAACATTTCATAAAGGAAGGATCATCTTAAATGTTAGCAAATTTAATTTTTACAAGTTTTTTTTTCTTACTCCTTTCATTCAGTTAAATTGTAGCTACGAATTTTTAAATTAAAATTAATAAAATATAAATTGTAGGATCAAAACATTAAATATATATATACATATATATATATAAACAGAGTAACATTTGGAAAAAGTAAACATTTGGTTTCATAAAATATGCATAGAAAAATTTTCATCTTTTATATTTGTGTATCAGATGATTAAATCAAGAGGGGATAAAAAAGGAATTTTATTATTAAACGAGTGTAAGCCCCAAAGCTAAATCTTTCTTATCTGTTAGAAGATTATTCTAGGAAAGTAATCTTATTTTGTAATTTTTTTCCTTCCTCTTTTCTCAGGGTTTATCTCGGTTTTGAATAATAAATTGGGTTTTATCAAAATCCGCAAAAAACATGAAGAAAAAAACAAAATCAAGTGCATATGCTACACTGAAGGAAAAGAATATGTTGTGTAGTTTAATTAATAGGAACTTCTAGATTCTATATATTAAAAAATAAAGCTGCTAAATCATAAATTTTCTTAGTGAAAGAATAAAACTTANAAAGTACTGTAAAATATAAATTTTTAAGTAATTAATTAAAATTAAATAAATAATATAATAATATCAACATGATTAATTATTACATATCACACAATGTGACCTACATTTTAAGTAGGTTACTTTTTCTTCTTAGTTTATTTGGTTTTGCTGAGTGATATTAGCTTTCATCCAAATGAGATAAATATGGAGGGGCATTTTACATGAATATAGGAGTGTTATTAAGTTTAAGTTATTAAGAATATTTTGTAAGAATAGAGTAAAACAAAGCTGTATTTATACTTGACTTTTGATTTCTTTTTTACTATATTCACAACCAAGAATTATGAGTTGAACGTTAACCAATAAGTGTTTACGTGTTAAAGGTGAATGATAATTTGCTAACTTTGTAAATCTAAGGAGAAACTTTTTTAATTAAATTAATCATTTTTAATTAAAAATGAGTAAAATTTTCAAAAAATTTTGGTAATATATTCTAAATATAAACACTGGTTTAGGACCTCTCGTTTAATAACTTAACTTTTTATTTATTTATTTATTTTGATAATCTCTGCATAGTATTATACAGTATAGGTGATTTGTTACAGTTATAATTTAGAAATTAGTTATAAGTGATTTAAATAAGTTATTAGAAATTATTATTAAATGAAATCAGTAAACTAATTTGAAAAAAGTTAATTATAAAAGTTTCCAGAAACGTTTTAATGTTGCACATATATTGCTAAACTGCAAGCAACTTTGTACAGTAAATTACTTAGAAATATATATAATGATAGTATACTTTGGCAAACAAAAGTAGTACAGCGAAACAGGAAAAGCAAGAAGAAAAACGGAAGTGATAAACTATCCTCCAAGACTATGTAAAAACACAAAATATGAATATAATTTTGATACGTTCTGAGAAACTTTTAATTACAATTACTATTATAGTAATTAAACAAATAATTTAAGAGTTACTGATTAATCATTTTAAGTATCAAGTTTAATGGATACGACCATTCCGTCATTTAACTACAATTATTGCAATATTTACGTAACTTCCTGTTGACGTCACAAACGTGACGTCTATACTTTTTTCCTCCTTATAAGGAATAGCTGATTGTTGTTATAATGACAAAGAAAAACTTTTTAATTAAATTAATCATTTTTTAATTTAAAAAATAAGTGAAATCTTTAAGAAATTTTGGTTGAAATCAAAATTTAGGTTAATGAGCTGTGGCTGGAACTATAAGACTTTTTTTAATGACATAATTTCCGCCTTCAAATTCTACTAAATTAATTATACTAAAATTTTCGCAATGAATTATATGCAATTGGCTTTTTTTTTATTAATTATTTTTATTATTTATTCATTTATAGGTATATTCTATGGTGGATTTTGTATATAAGAATTTTATTTATTTATTTATTTATTTTTATATTTATAACAGAATAGAAGAAAGATTTAAGCAAATTGAAGAGGATAGTGCCATTTTTAGATCTCTTTACAATATTCCTATATTAAAGGCGATGGACGAGGATGACCATAGAACCATTGTATGGATTTAGAGTTAGCACTGAGGAATGGTGACGATTTCAACGATGAAATTAAAGCGTGAGTATTTTTAAAGGGGCCCCGCATTTCAAGATTGGCCGGGTCCCGCGGNTAAAGTAGTATGTTCATTATCTGCATAAATACAGTATTTTTATCTAAATAAATTTTATTTTTATTGCTTCTTGTGATTATTAATTTTGTTTATGCTTTTTTGTATGACACGTCATAAACGTTAAATTTAAAAAGAAAAAAAAAGTCATCGTATTGTTAACGTTCCGAAAACCTGTACGACGTCATAAAAGTTTTCAAACGTCATTCGAAGCAACCAATCATGTAACAGATACCATACGAAATAAAATTGTAAAGTATTTACATGTTTATCGTTTTTCATTTTGAGTCTACCTTTCAAGATGATAACATTATTTCAATCTTTAGCTTCTTTATTGAAATTAAAGCCAATTTGCGTGGATAATAATGTATTTCGTCTTCATTACAAGTTTACTGTTGGAGTTCTGTTATGTTTTTGTGTAACAGTGACCTGTTATCAATTTTTTGGCGAACCCATTAAATGTTTAAAGGGAAACGTTCGACAAGAAGCTCTGGAAACATTTTGCTGGATTCATTATACATATTCCCTACCAGAAGCCTTTTCTAAAACATATCCAGAAGTACCTTATCCAGGAATTGAGAACTCTTTAAGGAAGAAAAAGGAAAGAGTGTATCATAAGTATTATCAATGGGTATGTTTTGTATTATTTCTTCAAGCTCTTCTGTTTTTTATACCTCATTATATATGGAAAATATGGGAAGGTGGAAAGATAAAAGCTATCACTTTAGAATTAGATAAACCAATTCTCAGCGAAGAAACTAAAGAAGACAACAAAAAACGTTTAGTAAAATATTTAAAAGATACTCGTGGTTTACATTCCTTATATGTTATTTATTTTGTTATTTGTGAAATTTTGAATTTTGTTAACGCTTTTGGACAATTATTTTTAATTGATAAGTTTCTCGGGCATGCATTCTTAAAATATGGTACTGAAATCTTGGAACATACAAATGTTTATCCGGATGATCATTTAGATGGTACAAATCCTATGATGATTCTTTTTCCAAAAATGGCTAAATGCCTTTTTCACTCATTCGGATCTGGTGGAAGCATTGAAGATAATGATGTAATGTGCATCCTTCCACTTAATATTATTAATGAAAAAATCTATGTATTTTTATGGTTTTGGTTAATAATATTGACTACTTTAACAGCTATCCACTTGGTTTATCGCTTTATTACTCTGATGTCATGGCAAGCGAGATATATTTCTCTTAGTTTTAAATGTAAATTAGTCGATAAGCATAGTCTCTTATCTGTACTTCAATTCTGTAATTTTGGCGATTGGTTTTTACTTAATTTGTTATCAAAAAATTTAGAAAGATATCATTTTAGAGATTTAATTGAAACATTAGCCAAAGAATTTCAAACAGATGGTAATGAAAAATTGCTAGAGAAAGGAAATGGTGACAAAATGAAATTTCCTTAATTTGTAGAAGTTTATGATATAATTTTGATGTGCCAAATATAAAATTTTATAATTTAATTATTAGAAAATGTTTAGTCTTTTCTAAAGTACTAACTGTATAGTATAATAATTGTCAATTTTTGCCAGTATTAATTGACTATTTAAAATCTGTCAAGTCCAGCTACACTGCCAAACATCAAAGATGAAATAAGCTGCATACTTAAATGATGCAAAATTACTTATTTAAATAATAACTTTTAAATAATTATGTTTATATTGTTTGCCAAAATGTGTATTTTATGATTTTAATTTCATAGATAACTGATGATATACTGTCTAACAATCAAAATTATATTTTTAATAAAAAAGTGATATATTCTACTGTATTTACTTTATTTAACTGTTTGTTACCTAAAATTATGTTTGTTTCTATATTAAATAAATCATTCCAATTTTACATTTTGTTGTAATAAAATATACTTTAAATCCTAAATTATTATACAGTTTTAATAATTATTGAAGAATAAAGTTTTATATAATAAATTTGCTTGATCATTAAATTTTATTTAAAAGTATCTTTTTGCATAATTTCAAACTATATAATAAATTATTAATTAATATATTTTCTATTTTCTCATCAATTGTTTTATTTATATTTGCAATAGCATCTTGCATTGCTGTTTTGATACAATAGCAATGAAATCTAGTCAAAACAGTTAAGTGTTTTGATAAATAGCACTTTTTATAAGGATATTTTGTCTTTTATTTTAGTATAAATTTCAAAATTTATTCTGAAACTTATAAATATTTTAAATTATTTTTGTGAACAGTGTAGTTTAATCTTCAGTTTTTCTAAATTTCTTATAGCACCTGTTCTATTTCCTTCAAGTTAAGAATTTAGAACTTAATTTTTAAAAAATACTTATACTTTTTTATAATCTTTAAATTTAATTTTTTAAGTAAAACCTTTTTTAATATTTTCTTATTTCTAATATTTAATAAATTTTAAATAATGACGACTAAAAGTACCGTAAAATTTTACTAATGAATTTTAGATCTCCAGTAATTTATTGGTAATAAAATGTTATAGTGTAAGCAGTTTTAGCATTTTTCTTTACTTCACAACTGGGTGCATAGGAGACACTGGGTATCTTTAACATCACTCTTTATTCAGGAATATCTTACACGTCGATACGCGTTTCAAGCATACGCCCCTCTTCCGTCAGCTTTTTTTTCAAGACATTTAGTAAAGAGGTTTTTACCATGTCTTAAATAGTGATAAATGTCCTGAATAAAGAGTGATGTTAAAAATGCCCAGTGTCTACCTATGCACTCAGTTGAGAACAGGGGCGCCGCTAGCTGTATGAACGCCCGTGTGCAATACCGNACAATATTTGGCTATGTCTTGGCTACTTTAATATTATTTTTGTTAAATTTTTGCGTGTTTTAGCTGGCAACATGGCTCGACCATTGAAGGGAGGCCAGTATTTAAACGAGACTTAATTTTCTAATTATGAATGGTTGTTTGTTTCGTGAGCAATAAAATAATTTAAAAATAATTTTTAACGATACAATAGCGACGATTATTATTTTTAAAAAATTTGTTAGGCTAAACATCGATGAAAATTCAACGTGAAGTTGGTTAATTAATAGCGATATGCTAATTACATGGGATATCCTAATATACTATACTAATGTATTTTTTTCATTATTTTCGGTTATCCGATTTTTTCAGTTATCCGACCAACCTGAGTCCCCAATTGAGTCGGATAATCGATGCTCTACTGTAATGTTAGTCACATGTATTCACAATTTATAATTACAAAGATCAGCCTATCGTACATGCCTATCGTTGGAGAATCCTCGCACATCTGAGGGTCTGACCCTGCCTATCCTTTTTAAGCGCTCGTCTTTGCTCTTTCCTTTATCTTCCTCTATCTCTCTAGTCCACGTATGCCTATGCATACATCATAATACGCGCTCACGATACTTTCGATTCGTCACTTTTCCGTCGTAGTTTTTCCATTTTATAATTACGTGACTCATAGCATGGTGATAACGGAGAAAAGAGACAGATAGGACGTCGGTATATGTCACAGTTATGATTTCACAGATTCGAGACAGCTTGGTAGCCCGAACGGTCCCAGGCTTTCGCCGGTGCAAGCTAAGTGACTTTCATTACAAGCATTTAGCTTTCCGAAGTCTATGACAACAATTGTTTGGCATTGACGGCCGCGAATTTCGTGCCAATAAGCTGCCTCGACTTGTTCGA